AATTTGGTTGTACAATGATCTACTGCATAAAAAGGTTTAGAAATAATAAGATGGGGGGGGGGTATTGCTCTCATCACTTGGTTCAGTTGTTCATCGCTGACGGATTGCCTCTGTGTTTGGTGTTTCGGTTTCCATCACCGAACAGCAGGTCTTTATGACCATTGGGTCCACTCCGTCTACTGTTCGTTGTACAAAAAAGTGTGTACTAAAAAATGTCTAGATTTTCTTCTGGTCCAACTACATTCTATTACTTCCGCCAAAAATGCTAAACTTTTTACTGTCCATTTGGCTCCTAGCTGACCTCCATATTTTACAGTGATTCACGTCACGTGGTGGCGATTATGTGGGACTTTGCATTCCGACGATAATTAATCAAAAAAAACTAATGGATGTCTCAGTGATACGCTTGTTTCAGTCCCTACTGACCAAGTTGTTTAAGCTGTTTCAATCAAGCTACCGACCATCATCAGACAGGTCATTTATAGTGGTAAAGCATGTTACGACGTGTACGAAATCTACATTGTGATTTCCATCTGCCCCGGTGACTGCCGTTCGCTTTGTTTCGAGAACTACCTGCGGTCAAGCGAAAAGCTAACTCCTTATGTCTTCTCTCTCTCTCTACTCAACCACTCTTTACGGATTATCTGTTTGCGTTAAAGTAGATGTTCAACACAATGTAGTGGATATCACCCGCTGAAGCAAGTGATATTTCGGTTGCACATACGTCCGTAAATAGCATATCCTTTGCCGTCATTAGTGAATTGCTTCTTCATGTGGTCTTACTCTCATCATAAGTGAGTACAAAAATAATACTTGACTTCATTCTCTGAGGTCGTGCAACAAATGCACCACATCGGTCACTTTCTTGCCCATTTTCATCCGTGCACGTTGGCTCGAATATCGCTTCCGATCATAATCCTTGCTATCCCTCTCACTCTTCTTTCCAAATAATGATATCGTCTCTAGCGGATCTGTGCAATCGTCCCTACGTAATTTCACGACTGAGCTGACTTTGAATGCATGTTCTGTTTGTTTCTACCTACATGTGTACACTGATCACGTGCATCTCACGATCGAACACCAGATGCAATCAACCATTGGATTATATTCAACTATAACCTGCGTGTTTCTAAAGTCATCATCTTTCTTCTAGTTATATTGCCTCCAGCAGTAAATCATTTTACCAATTCACAATGGACCAAGGCATCGTCTACTCCTGGATACAGGAAATTTTGGCTGTATCACAATTGCTCTTATACTTATAAATGGCCTATGCTGTGTTGTTGGATATAGTTGCAGTTGCTAACGTGTACAGTATAAAATGTTTTCAATCCATATCTTTCATGTGTATGTGCACTGATGATCTCATGGATGCCCATTCTGTCACCCACATATGTACATACATTTGTCACTGGTTTTCCCGCTACTGCAGCGATAGTAGCAGAGCGTGTACAAATGAAGCAGTGGTAAGAACAGAGAACAAAAAGGGAAACACGGAAAACAATGCTTTTCACCGTATATTTTTTGAAATGTTTTCGTGTTATTGTCTTTTGAATGGGATACGGAGTTTCAACAAACAGCAATCGTCCCACTGACTCCTGTTCTGAGCCATTTATCGGCGTTTGTAACAAATAGCAATCTTCATCCCTTGGGAACCATCCTAGATGACGAGCATCAATCGAAGCCAGTACTGAGACTGACGTCTTCATACTTCTACGCCAGTTCATTTTCTGACCGCCGCGGTGCTTCTTCCAACCTTACCCAGTACGTGTAATGAGAGCACGAAAAGATAGACGATGGGCAAGCATACACAAAACATGACCGATCCAACAGACGCCATGTAGAGTGATTACTTCTTTTAATGAACGACTATCAGTACCCTGCTCACAACGATGAACCTCATCATTGACCACAGGATTTTCCCACCAGAAACGAGCAATACTTCGAAGTTATCGCTGAAATTCGATTAGCTGTCTCAGATTATCGCATATATCTATGCAAGCTATTGCGTATAGAAATCAGTCGTGTGTATATGTGCCTAATCGCATCATTATTCATCTCTATGTGTATAACTGTTGGTGTTTCTTGTGTGCTTGCCTACCTAAACATCTTCCGTGGCCTTTCAAGCGTTCTTCTCTCTCCTTTTGGGATTATTCTTCACTCCTGGTGTTTTTTCCAATCGATTTTATACGTTAATTATGTTGGTTTGGCTCGTATTACTGATGTGTGTATTAAGTGCAAACAGTCACTCACTCTAACCGATTGTTTGAACCCATTCTGTTTGTCCTTGCCCGTGGCTTTCTACGTCGATCACATTTTTCCTTTCATGTCCTCTTCCTAGAAGAAGCCTGTCAATGGTCAGTGGGTTATTTGGCATAGGTTTATGAGAACGTCCCCCCCCCTCCTGTTTGGTCCACCTAAGCTGCAGGGCTGAGGTGTGAGAGCTCACTTTACTGTGGCTTATCCTTGTAAAAGATACACGGCCTTCCTAAATCATCAAAAAGTGTCTTGAGAGTCGAAGCGCATTCGCCATTCGACTAGTATGGATCCAGCCCAGGGTTTTACACATTCTTGTTTGACATTTTAGTTTGATTGATATTTCCCTTATGATTGTTAGATCAAGCAGTAAGTCTTATCCATTGCACTCCGTTGTCGCTGTCTTCCCATACTGAACCACCTTCAGCGTAACACAATTACACGAACTTCATTCATCATTGCCAAGATTAGTGAGAATGCGTAACGAGGATAGTAATTGGGCCTATTTTTTTTAATTTTTTCATTACACACCTAAGCGTGATGAACAGCAGATGGGGTGAATCCCATAGTCACGGGGTACGGGGAAAGAAAGTGAACCTCTAC